GTCTTAATTCTTAACCATCAATCATATGTATATTGCCTAATATTGTTACTTGATCGTCCTTTGCAGGTACTCGACGACGAATCATTCGCAATGATGGTGATAGTAGCACTAGTCATGACGGCCACGATCACTCCATTGGTGACCATAGTCTACCGTCCGGCGAGGAAGTTCATCCCTTACAAGCGTCGAACACTGCAGATGTCCCGACCGGACGCCGAGCTCCGGATCCTGGTCTGCGTCCACACACCACGAAACGTCCCCACCATAATCAACATCCTCGAAGCTTCCTGTCCAAGCAAGACATCGCCACTCTGCGTCTACGTCCTCCACCTCGTCGAGCTCACGGGCCGGGCCTCCGCCATGCTGATAGTCCACAACACCCGCAAATCGGGTCGGGCCGCCACCGCCAACCAGACCCAGGCCCAATCCGACCACATCATCAACGCCTTCGAGAACTACGAGCAGCACGCCGCCTGCGTCTCCGTCCAGCCGCTGACGGCGATCTCCCCTTACTCGACGATGCACGAGGACATCTGCAATCTGGCGGAGGACAAGCGCGTGGCCATAGTGATCATACCTTTCCACAAGCAGCAGACGGTGGACGGAGGGATGGAGGCGACGAATCCCGCGTTTCGATTGGTGAATCAGAATGTCTTATCTCACGCGCCGTGCTCCGTGGGGATCTTGGTGGATCGAGGGTGGAGCGGGTCGCGAATGGCGACGGGGACGAATCAGGTCGAGCACCACGTGGCGGTGTTGTTCTTCGGGGGGCCCGACGATCGGGAGGCGCTGTCGTACGCTTGGAGGATGTTGGAGCACCCAGGGATTTTCGTCACCGTCGTGAGGTTCATCCCTGAGGAGAACGCCACCGCCGCCGGAGCAGCAGCCCCAGCAGGAGGCGGTCGTCGCAGCCGTCGCGGATCTGAAAGTCGAGATTTGAGTGTGGATCTGGCGGTGGAGGGAGCGGCGGGGCTGGATTATCGAGGTAGGAACAAGCTAGACGAAGAGATAATTAGGGATTTCAAAATGGCGAATTCGAACGACGATTCGGTGTCGTATTCGGAGATCGTGGCGAGTAACGGCGAGGAGACGGTGGCGGCGATTCGGTCGATGGATAGAGGGCACGATCTGTTTATTGTGGGGAGGGGACAAGGGATGACTTCGCCGTTGACGGCGGGGTTGACGGACTGGAGCGAGTGCCCTGAATTGGGGGCGATTGGGGATTTGTTGGCGTCATCGGATTTCGCGGCGACGGCGTCGGTGCTTGTTGTGCAGCAATATTGTAACCTGGAGTTGATGGATTCGCCAGAAAGTCCAATGCATCTGGACGAGAACACCCAGTTGAATAGGCCGTCACCGGAGCCGATGACCCCGGTAGACCGGGTTTTGACGGTGGATAGTTCGCCGCGACAGTTTTAGTCCATTTTTTTCCCGATAGTATTAGTTAATTAGAAGTTAATTTCGAAAACAAGGAAAGTGGAAGTGTGTTATGTGTAGGAGTAACAAAAAGAGTATGCATTCTTGGGAGAACTTATTTATAAACTATTGATTTTGTAAATATCAGGGGAACCCAGTACCAAAAATACTCGATGGTATTAGAATCTAATTATGTTGTTTGTTCGTACTCAATGGTATTTGATAGATGTAACATTTTAGGCGAATCCCACATCGACAAAGCACGGGAGAGATCCACGGTTCATAAGTAGGAAACCGGCCTTAACTGACAAGACGTTTTTTGGGGTGAAATGGAAGAGTTCTTTTGAGAACTCCGAAGTTAAACGTGCTCGGTGTAGAGTACAACAATGATGAGTGACATTATCAGAAGTCATCTTGAATTGCACCCCAAGTCGAAAACCGTGAGGGTCGAGGCTCAAAGCGGACAATATCTTGCTCGGAAAAAGGTTCGGGATGTTACAATAGATTTGTAAAAAAAAACCAAAAAGATTAAACAGTATCATTAACTTAATACAAAATTAACTAGAATACATGTCAAGAATAACAAAATTATTGCCCTTTTTCCAACATAGATCATATATTAAAATGTTATCGGTTGCATCTTCTTCTAGGTTTATACCCATCTCTATAATTCTCTTTACAATCTTCACTTCTTTTAGTCGACAACGCAAACATTTCTATGAATCTTTACAATAATAAGTGGCAATTTTCTTTTTTGCGCGTGCTATTTATCTTGCCATCTAAGATTGAAATACAACAAATTAAATGTAGATAATCCCTCTTCCTGAACAGCAGCGCTTGTTTGGCAGTACTCAACAGTATTGGATCTTCGGGAACCTTCGACATCATCACATCAGCCTCGACTTTGGTATTATTTATTGGGCCCTTTGGCGGTCCAGAAACAATCTTATCTTTGCAGGAAAGATTGTCCCACCTGAAGCCTTCATACAGCCGGTCCGAGTTTGGATACCTGTAGTGAAGAAAGCTCTGGACCAGGATAGGCTCATCAATATGCCTAGTCCACCCGCCAGAACGGAGGAGCTTATCCATTGGCAGCCGCCTCCTCCCGAGTGGGTTTGCCTCAACTCTGACGGCTCTGTTCTCCCTTCATCAGGCCACGCAACAGTTGGTGGCCTGATTCGTGATCACTTAGGACGTTACTTGGCGGCGTTCGCTATTAACCTGGGTATCTGCTCCATAACCCAGGCTGAGTTGAGAGGCGTTGTTGAAGGTTTACAGGTGGCTTGGGACGCTGGCCATCGCCCGTGTCCACGTTCAATTAGATTCCTGTGTGCGATGCAGCTGTTGCACCGAAAGACGTCCGAAGACCATCCCTATGCGGCCTACATTTCCCGTTTTCGAGAGCTCTGTTCTCACCCTTGGAGTGTGAAAGTTTCCCATATTTACCGTGAGGGTAATGTTTGTGCTGATTATCTTGCTAGTCGGGGTATCTCTCTTCCCTTTGGTTTTCATTCGATCCCAAACCCTGATCCTATGTTATCTCATTGGACTTTGTATGACTGTTAGGGGATTTCCATACCCCGGTTGGTTTTGAATGAAAGTTAGGGTGCCTCTTCATTCATTACCAAAAAAAAAAAAATACAACAAATTACACCAAAAGTACATAAAACACATTTTGGGTATGGATCATTCGGAGCGACCGATAGTAAAAATTTAGAATGACGGCTCCAAAACAAACTATCTAGTATAGTTTGAACGTTCTACGATGAAAAGTACTGAGTTGTATGGAATTTCACATACTCAATTGTTGGAGTCGATTTCATGTTCCTTCAATGCATGTAGATACAAACCACTTGTTATCTTTCTCAGGGAAACCAGATTATGGGAAAGCGGGTGGAAGAATCTCAAGCTGCGCTTGGGATAAAATAGGAGGCCTCTTTATTGAAGCACAAGGCAACCACAACTGCAAATTTGATGGTCTAAGTATATTATGGGGAAAAAGGCATATGAATTTCAAGAATGTATATACGCTATCCCTTTTGGTTGTGTATGAGAGAGAGAGTGTTTCATCAGAGAGAGTAATTCTGCCCTCTCTCCTCTCCTTTTTTTCCCGTTTATGACCGCTGAGGGTCAAACCCCCCCCCCCCCCTTGCGAGGGAAGACCATTGTTTGAAATCACCGGATGGATCCCTGTCGACCACGCCGATGCAACCAAGTAAGAAGGCGAAAGAGAGCTCTAGCACGGAGTTCTCTGGGCAAATCGGAATGGAATTTGTGATCATCACAGCACAACCGGCGGATGATGATATGAACTCGGCTGAAGACATTGGTGAGAAGCAAACCACCTCACCACTCGACAAGACGAAAGAAGCAGGTGCAGGGAGGGCCAGCTACAGGGACTCCTTCCTGGGGAACTGCCCACCCATCGACATCCTTGAAGGGGATGAGCTGATGTCGGACGAATCGGAAACTGACGAAGCAGAGGACGACCCGAAATACCTGAAAATTCGAATCAAGAAAAGAACGAACGTGAAAATTTGCAACAGATGGAGACGAGCTATCACATTCAGAGTCCTTGGGCGAAACTTCCCATTTGCTTTTGTCCAAAGACGAGTTCTGCGCCTGTGCGCAAAAACGGGAGGAGTGAAAGTGGGTGATATTGGAAATGGCTATTTCCAGGCATCCTTCGATTCGCAAATCGATCATGATCGAGCTCTATTTGGAGGGCCATGGACGATTGAAGACCACTACATTGTGGCAGAGCCGTGGCGACTCGACTTTGAACCTGATTTTGACACAATCGACCGCACGGTGGTGTGGGTAAGGCTACCTCGTCTGCCGCTTGCATACTTTGATGAAGAAATCCTCTTCGATATTGGCAACAAGCCTGGCAGGGTGGAGAAGATTGACTAGAACACGACCAATGGTGTTAGAGGGAATTACGCCCGGATCTGTGTTGAAATCGATCTGAGGAAGAAATTGGTATCCAAATACAAGATTAAAAGAAGAGTGTGCAGGGTGGAGTACGAAGGTCGGCACATTGTGTGCTTTGATTGTGGACACTATGAGCATGTTGCTGACAATTGCCCTGTAAAAAAAGGGGAAGAGAATCGGAAAACAGAAGAGAGCATGAAGGATGATGCTGCTACAGCCTCCAGCCCTGTGATTCGCCCAGAGATCCTTGAGGATTATGGGTCGTAGATGCTGGCCACACGGCCAAGAAGAAAAGGAAACCATCATAAAGCTAGGAAGGCAGAGAGCAAGAACACTGGAGAAAGTAGGGAAGAAGTTGCTACACAAACTGGATCCCGGTTTAGCGCATTGGAAGCAGAGGAAGAGATCGTAGCTACTGAGGAGAATCAAGGTAAAACTAATGAGACTCAATTCCATCAGCTTCGACGATGAACAAACAGCCAGAAGATCAAGCTGAAAATCAGAAGAGGGAAAAAACCAAGGAAGGGCGACAGGATAAAGATAAGCAGAGGGAAAAAGGAGAATGGAAAGACAAAAGGAGAAGGAAGCAAAAGCCAAAAACATAATCAAAAGACAGTGTCCCGAAAGGAGAACTAGAAATCCCCCCAGAAATGCCCAAGCAGGTAACTGGTATTATATCCAATCCAACCAGAGCAAAGGCTAACCCCATTATCAAGAATGGCACAGAGAAAAAAGTACAGAAATGGGACAAATCCCCTGCTGGATTGACTAAGCTGATCAAATCCGCTAACCACCAGACACCTCCAACATTAGGAAGGACTGGAGCAAGCAAGGGAATTACAGTCGATGCCAGGAATGGGCATCAACCTAAAATGAGGCAACCTACTGAAGAGAAGGAGACCAAGGAAAGCAATAAACGGTTACTTGAGACCCAAGACTCAGAGGTGATTCAGCCAAGGAAGATCGATTTTGCTTCAGAAATGAAGGAAAAGCCACTTGTGCCAGAAAATGCACATGAACCAATGGATGCAGCAGTCACTGGTGCTCTTGAGTATCAAACAATGGTGATGACCGTCGACAACCCTGGTTCTTGACCAGTGGGGGCAGGGAAGGACTCTTACCTTTTCTATGGTTAAGATCTTCTCCTGGAATTGTAGGGGTGCTCAACACCCCAAATTTCTTTCTACGTTTGAGTTCTACAAGGCTAGCTATAGCCTTGATGTTGCCTGCATCCTTGAGCCCAGAATTAGTGGGGAGGAAGCAGAAAAGGTTATCAAGTCCCTTGGATTTGATACTTGGAAAATCTCGGATGCAGTGGGATTTAGCGGAGGAATATGGGTTCTCTGGAATATCATCAACCTGAACTTGGAGCTTATTGATAAGCACAAGCAATTCGTCTGCCTCAAGTGCATCACAGGAGGGCGTGTGTCCTACCTCCTGACTGCCATCTATGCGAGTCCTAATGAGCATGACAGAAGGGAGCTCTGGCAAAGGTTAAAATTCATTGAGACCACCACAAGTGATCCATGGCTCCTTACTGGACACTTTAATTCCATCACCAAGCCATCAGAGAAACAAGGAGGGGCTCCATTCAACTTTGCAAAAGTTAGATCCTTTAATGAATGCACGGATGAGTGTGGGTTCATTGATATAGGATTCACAGGACCCCATTTTACTTGGTTTACTAGTTCAACTAGAATCAAGGAGAGGTTGGACAGAAGTCTGTGCAGTTTGGAATGGCAGCAAACCTTCCCGAACACCAACGTGATCTACCTCCCCAGGATGAGATCAAATCATAGGCCAATTCTCACCACCACCTCCTCTCTTCAGGGTAAAAGGAAGACTGATAGAAAATTCCAGTTCATTGCTGCTTGCAAGGAGTTTCAACCTTTCCTCCAACTGTCATGGAGAAAAGGATGTGACTTTCTACCATCTCTGAAAACCCTTTCAGATGATATGCAAAAATGGAAAACAGATGTCTTTGGAAACATCTTCAAGAGGAAAAGATAACTCTTTAACTCCCTCAAATCATTGGAAATGCTCAATGAGAGGAAGCCTTCGAGGAGCTCAATGGTGAAGGAACATGATGTTAGGGGAGAACTGGAAGAAACTCTATGGCAAGAGGAGATCCTTCGGAGGCAGAAGGCTAGGGTCAACTGGAATGTCAAAGGGGATATGAATACACGCTACTTCCATAACTATACCCTCAGTAGAAGGAAAAGAAACAAAATCATTGGTTTGAAGGATGACCAAGGGAACTGGATCTCAAACCCTTACATGCTTCAAGACATGGCAAGGGTACACTTTGTCAAACTGTTTACAAGTGAAACTCTAAACAATAGGATCAAGATCACTGCTGACTTCCCTAATGTTAATGATTTTCTTCTTAGAACAGTTGGAAGGACCCCTAATCCTATGGATATCAAAGCAATTATTATGGAAATGAGTGGACTTAAGGCTCCTGGAAAGGATGGCTTCCACGCTCTATTCTATCAAAAATGCTGTGATATTATTGGGATGGAATTTGCTTCTTTCATCATCAGCTGTTTTAACAACCTAGGGAGGATCCAAAGCATCAATGAGACCCTACTGGATCTCATTCCCAAAGTGGAATCCCCAACATCTATGAACCATTTCAGACCCATCAGCCTCTGCAATTTTGGGTACAAAGTTGTGGCCAAAAGCATTGCAAACAACTTGAAGAAGCTAATGCCAAAGCTTGTTCACCCCAACCAGTCCAGCTTTGTCCCAAAATACCATATCACTGATAATCTCATTATTTTGCAGGAAACTGTTCATTCTATGTCCAGGAAAAGTGGAAAGAAGGGAAACATGCTTCTCAAAATTGACTTGGCCAAAGCCTATGATCGGATTGACTGGCTCTTTTTGGAGGAAACCCTTGTTGCTGTGAAACTCACACCTGACTACATCAGACTGATCATGTCTTGTGTGACAACCACATCCTTCCAAGTGTTGTGGAATGGGGGGAAACAGTAGGATTCAGACCTTCCAAAGGCCTCAGACAGGGATGTCCTCTCTCCCCTTACCTTTTTACTTTATGCATTGAAAGGCTTAGTCATTGTATCCTTAAAGAGGTCAACTATGGGAAATGGAAACCGATCTGTCTATCCTCTTGGGGACCTGCTCTTTCCCATCTGTTCTTTGCATATGACCTTGTTTTATTTTCTGAAGCCACCTTAGTACAAGCTGACTGTGTGATGCAATGTCTAGAGTCATTTTGTGCTGCCTCGGGTGAGCTAATTAGCAAAGAAAAGTCTAGGACTTTCTTCTCTAAGAATTTGAAGCATTCTCATCATCTTACTATCTGCAACAGACTTGGGATCCAGCAAACAAACGATATTGGAAGGTACCTTGGTGTTCCTGTCATTTATGGCAGGATAACCAAAAGTACTTATAAGTATGTGTTAGATAGAATGGACCAGAAGCTTACTTCCTGGAAAGCAAGGACTTTATCCCTTGCAGGGAGAGTCACCCTAGCCTTGTCTGTGTTGAATGCCATCCCAACCTATGCTATGCAAACCACACCTATCCCTCTTACTGTCTGTGATTTAATAGATAAGAAGATTAGGGACTTTGTGTGGGGATCAATGGAAGGAAAAAGTAAACCTCACCTGTTGTCATGGGAGAAAATATGCATGCCTAAGAAACTTGGAGGGCTTGGTCTTGGATCTGCCTGCAATCTTAATAAAGCATATATGATAAAACTGGCATGGCAGATGATTAACAACGATGAGGAACTCTGGGTGCAGGTACTGCAAGCAAAGTATTACAAGCACAAGAATGGGGAAATTCTCTCTATGAAGAAAACTAATCACTCCAACCTATGGAGAGCTGTGGTCAAAGCAATGCCACTTATGAAGGAAGCATCTTGCTGGAGTATCAGGAATGGGGAGTCAAACAACTTTTGGAGACACCCATGGATCGGGAATGGAATGGTGCTTGAGGATTTCCTGACAAGAGAAATCACAGAAGAGGAACTCAAGTCACCAGTGGCCAGCTGGATTACAAACCAAGGTGAGTGGGACTGGGACAGGTTGAATGACCTCCTGCCTAATGATAGACTTCTGCTGATTGCAAGTATGGAGAAACCTAGGCCTGAACTTGGTGAGGACAAGATGATATGGGGACTTGAAAGAGATGGAAGATTTCGACTCAAGTCTGCATACTACCTTGCTGTAAACATGGAGGAAGAAGAGGAAGAGACTAGCTGGAAAGCTTTATTGAAATGGCAAAGACCGAGCAAAATCAAGCACTTCCTGTGGCTGGTTCTTCATGACAGACTCTTCACCAACAAGGAATGTGCAAGAAGGACAATTACCACGGACAGTAGCTGCAATCACTGCAAGGAGAATGAGGAAATGACTGACCATATACTCGGAAAATGTGAGAAAGCAAGGAAAACATGGGAGAGGTTTCGACACAAGCTGGTAAACAGAAACATTGATGGATGCTTCCAGAACTGGCTCCTAGAGAACCTCCTTCATGAGGATTCTGGAGTCGATTTTGGAGTCATCTGCTGGAACTTGTGGAAGCAGAGGAATGAAGAAGCCATGGATGGGAAAGCATTCAATGAAAAAGGCCTCTACTGCAGGATTGATGCATGGATGATTATCATTCACCAAGTTAAGCACAGAGACACCTTTGATTGCTGGAAAACACCAAGACAGCACCAGAATGCGTGCATTACATGGAAACCACCTGATGATGGATGGATCCACCTCCAGACAGATGGCTCGGTAATCCAACCCTCTAGAAGAGCAGCTACTGGTGGTCTTCTTCGTGACCACCTGGGATGATGTCTGGACGCTACCTGCAATCTCGGCATCTGTACGATCACAAGCGTGGAGCTAAAAGGGGCGATCGAAGGCTTACGGGTTGCTTGGGAAAGGGGCACAGGAAAGTCATCCTCAACATGGACTCTACTACAACAATTGAGATTGCGAAGAATTGCATTGATGATGATCACAGACATGGGATCCTCGCTAGGCAATTTTTTGTCCTTCTTAACCGTGATTGGGAAGTTAAGATCAATCATGTGTTTAGAGAGGGTAATTTTGCTGCTGTTTTCTTAGCTAGTTTGGGTCACTATGTTAATTTTGGCACACACCACTTCAATGTGTGTGACCCAAACCTTGGGTATTGGTTGTTACACGATATCATGGGCATTGTACATGATCGTGAGATTACTATTAATACGAATTAGACACTAAGACATCACTCTTCCTACAAAAAAAATCATCATTTTTTGCCAGAGGTAAGAAGAAAGGTGAGAGACCTTTGAATGAAGCTCTATTAACTTACTACATAGAGAGGCTTTAAACTACTATGGGCGATTGGATTATTTTAGAAGGATTTCCATTCGCATGAGACAATAGACACTCTTGTAGTACTTTTTTATAGAATAATAATAACTAGCTATTACCCGACCCAATGGTCGAATGATTTTTTTTTTGTATTATTTATATTTTAAATGATTTAAATCTATATAGTCTCTGAATGATTTGAAAGTAATATTTGTGATACTCGTCGTGGTTAGTGATATTATGGGTAATTTATTCATAGGCACTTTATTTATCAGGCAATTCTAACTTATTGTTGGTTATCATTTTTGAACATTTAGAGGATAGTTTGCACATGTATTTTTATAAGATACTAGGTGGGGATGACGCGCCTTGTCGCGGGCGGGGCGGAGATGGCCTATTGCCATGTATTATGTTGCCCGTTAAGGTGTTTTGTTAGTATTATTAGTCTAAACATAATTTTTTATTAGCAAGTTTGTTAGTAATATTGCTTTGATAATATGATATTGACTGAGAAAAGATATATGGCGGTGAACATTCAATTTTAAAAATTTTGGCTAGTAAATGATATATACCTAAACAGTAAACCCAAGTATACCCATTGATTATGAGTAGGGTATGAGTGACGTATATGTGGGTTTGGAAGTTTAGATGGGTTTGGGTAGGTATTAATATTTACTTCCATAATCTAAATGTGTATGAGTTGGGTATGGATTTCCATGGATTTAAGTGAAATCTAAACATTGGACCAATATGTAAATTTAAAAAAATGT